AGCACTTTATGAAAAAGCTAAAACTGATATTGTCAACAAGCCCTGGAGCAGATTAAAGCTCTGATGATGATGATGATGAACGAGAGATTCAACCTTCTCATAACAGAAATGATGGCTGTTCAAGAAGACGTATTGTTATTTTATTATTATTATCTAATTAAATTTTTTTAATTATAATCTTATAAATTCTTCTTTTTTTTACCTCTTTGTGTTTTATTTCCAGTCTGGGACAGAGATACAGCTGAGTCTTCTTCCTCTTCAGGGAAATCCACCAGAGATCACCTCCAGCTAAGAAGTCTGTGAGGACTGAACTCTGAACTTTTCCAGGGACCTGTCCCACCTGTGGGAGCAGGTCCAAGAAGAAGTTGTGAGTAATGAGGCCAAATACAGCCACACTGCAACATTAGCAGAGCTCTACCTCTTTATTCCTGCCACCTGTTAGTGAGAGGTTTTCTCTACCGCTGGAGACGATGTCACTGCAACTAGATCTGAGCTTTTGATAGAAAATGTGGACAAGTTGGGCTTTTTGGACAAAAACTTAAAACTTGACTAGTTAGACTGTAAACAGTCTGTTGCTGCTTATTGTTCTGGTTCTGACTGTTACTGTATTTATTAAGATTTTTATTATTGTTAGTATAGTTTATTTATTGTAAAGAGTGCCTTTAATTTAAAATATCATCCAAATGGGTCGCTTTTATTTATTTTTATACAAACATATTGTTTACTTGGCATATTTCAAAATAAAAAAATTGTCTTTATTTTGTCTTTTTTTGTACCGAAAATTAACCGAACCGAGCCCTCCTTGAAACTGAACCGAACCGAAATATGATTTTAGCATACCGTTACACCCCTGATATATATATATACATTAATAACAACAAAAAACATAACTTCAGCCAGTAGTTAAGATGCACTTATTACTTGCCTGATTTGAGATATTTAATACAGATCAGCCAAATATAACAAAACAGACCATCATTTTTTCACGAGGATCAGAAAAACAAAGCTTTGCTGTGGCACAGAATTTTTCCTCATAGACAGTTAATTTTTACCATGAACCATTATGGCGGAATGTTCACAATCAACTATCAGCTGTTAAACACAAAATTTCTAACAAATTAAACAAATATAAAGTCATTAAATTACTGTTATAAGTAAAAGCTGTCTGTGACAGCTTCCTCCTGCATCCTGTTGCACCCCCAATTTTTCAATTGTTTATTTAGGCTTTATGTCTTTCAAAAATAAAACACTTTAAAAGTACTAATTTGATTTCAGTGGGCCTTTTGACATAACACAATGTTACATGCACTCTAAACCTGATAGAAAAATCTGGAAGAGTTCTAATCTGATTAAAGACATCTATGACCTAAAAAGTGTGACCTTAAGGAAAAAATAAACATTTAGCCCATTTTGTACATATAAGGGTTATTTCAAAAGAAAACTAGGATTGTTCCAGCTCTGACATTCCTGAAAATAATTTGTTAGTATGGGTGTAATAAAAAATGAGAGAAAGTAGGAGACGTGAGAGAAAACATGAAAGTGAGATAGAAAAAGCAATTCACACAAAAAGGCAGCTTGGACAAAATGTAAGATAGAGCAAAGATACAGGGAGGTAAAACAGGCAGACAAGCCATCTATCATTCCTAAAAGCTTCAGCTGTAGACACCCAGAGTCTCCATGCAGGCCTCAGCTGTGGTAGGAGCTGTTAATGAAACAATTATTAAGAATATATAAGTATTCTATTTAAGTTTACATGAGCTGCTTCACATGTCTGCTAGAATAAAGGAATGAATACAAAATACATCAGGGTGCAGGTGAGGATACCCAACATTAAACTCCACTTCCCTGTCATTGTGTAAAATAAAGGCTTCTTTATATCTAAACCAAGGGTTTGTCAAACAGGAAAGGAACTCTAGAAGCTAATGATTTGTTTTTCTAATGTACAAGACAGTTGGGGTTGGTCACTGTCTCCACCCTCATCCCCTTAAATTTACAAAAGACCCTTCACAACACTGTTTAATGACAACGAAAAGGTCAATCAATAACCCTACTACTTGAACGTATTCAAGTGATTACCATCACAGAAAAGGAGACACCTCCAGAACAGTGGGTGTGCAATTACACCAGCTCCCTTATAGAAAAATAGCTAGCATTCCAAGATGGCTCATTCAACGCTGGAATTTGAAACTACATTTGTTATTCGTATACTCCCTACAAGTCTTGCACTGGTTTGATTCTGCTCACAGTTATTAACTTTGTGCTCAATGTGTGCTAAATTAAGACATGAATGAGCTGAATTTCAATGTTCTTACTGAGATCTCCGAGTTGGACATGTCCCAGCACGTAAAGCCCACTCTTTTTTATGTCATTGATGAAGGTGATGAGGCCCACGGTGCTGCGAGGGTTGGAAACCATCAGAAGAATCTGGGGCCTCCAGAACTTGATGTGGTCCTTCCTGACGTCGAGCATCAGAAGGTACTTACGGACCTACAGACAAAACAGAGATGTGTGAAAAGTGTTAACTGTGAAAACTGTTTGATGTCTATTGTTACAGATAAATAAAGTGGTGGTTCAAATCAGAGTAAGCCTTGTGTGTACCGTTGTGATCTTTATTGCCCACCACCTAAAGTCAAAGGTGGACACTATTTTTGTCCTTGTCTGTTTTTGTGTTTCTATGTGTGCATTGAACGTTTGTATACAGCTGATTAATTTTTGGAATCAACTCAATTAAGGACGGCCGCCAACTGACCAAAACACATACTGTATGGCTACATTATAGAGCTTGACCAGTATATCGATAGGGCCAATATTTTAGGTCGATATAAATGTTTGGGGACCTATTGGTATTGGTGATAATTGTCCCATTATACCATACCATTTTATTTATAGAGCACTTAAAACAGCGACAAGGCCAATCAAAGTGCTGTACCAAGCCAAGGTTCTGCTCTGAGTTTTGATTTTCTAGTTTTAACGGGTGCAACATGATCGAGTCTTTAAGCAGACAGAGTTGAACTGGGATGTCAGCTCCTCAGTGGTGGTGAGAAACACCAGTGGCTGAATTATCATTTCAGAGTTATAAACATCTGTGAAACGTGTGGCAATGAAGTGGTTAATGGCCCGGCTACTACGTGCAAGAACGCACAGCTTAGGAATTAGATGGGGGAGGGTGAACTCAAACTGGACTGGCATGTGGTCTGAAAAAACATTATCACCAATTTCAAGATTACTAACAGTCACATCACAAGTTAAAACAAGGTCCAGTGTATGTCCTCGCTCTTGGGTGGGACCGTTTACATGCTGAGTTAAATTAAATGAGTCCAATAAATCTAAAAAGTCCTTAACCAAGGGCTTCACCTGAAAGCACACATGCAAATTAAAGTCCCCAATAATGAAAACATGATCATATTTTGGTGTGATTTCAGCCAATAAATCAGAAAACTCATTTATGAAATCCTTAGATCCAGGTGGACGGTAGACACTTTTAATTTTCACCCCTAAAATGTTGGAACCAGCTGTAATTGTACAATATATACAACAGAGGGTGCATGAAGACTACTTTCAAGTCA